GCGCGAGCGCGCACGCGGCGGCCGCGGGTGGCGGCGGCGGCGGCGGCGCGCAGGCGCGGGTGCTGACAACGCTGCTGACGCTCATGGACGGCGTGGGGGCCGGGGAGGATCTGAGCCAAGATTCAAAATTGAATGGCGACAGTTCGGATCGCGTGGTGGTGATCGGCGCCACGAACAGGCGGGACGCGTTGGATCCGGCTCTGAGGCGGCCAGGGCGGCTCGAGCGCGAGCTTGAGGTTGGGGTGCCCACCCCCCAGGAACGCGGGGAGATATTGGAAGCCAGGTGCGCGGGCAGCTGCGGCTGGCCGCGAGGGAATTGTTTGAGATTGGGTACATCCTGCTGCTGCCGCTGCTGTCGCTGCCGCTGCTGCTGCTGCCGCTGCTGCCGCTGCCGCTGCTGCCGCCGCTGCCGCCGCTGCCGCCGCTGCCGCTGCTGCCGTTGCTGCCGCTGCTGCAACTATTGCCGCTGCTGCGGTTTGCTAGTCAGGAGCCTGGCCCAAAGACCAGCGGGGCACAGCTGCTCATTCACCATCCCTTGGGTGGACACAACCGTACGACCTCATTGCCTTTCAGGGCAGTTCCGCCACCTGCATCGCCCACCTGCCCTTGCACCTGCCCGTGCCTGTCGCCCTGTCGCTGCCCGCTCCATTTGTCCCTCCAATCAACCCCTCCCCCAGGCTGGCGCACGTCCGCCACAGCCTGACCCCCGAGCAAGCAGCCCGCCTGGCAGCTTCCGCCCACGGCTTTGTCAGCGCTGACCTGGCGGCGCTGGTGGACGAGGCAGCGCTGTGCGCGCTGAGGCGCGTCGTGGCGGCGCGGGCCGCTGCGGGCGAGGGCGCCGGCGCAGGCGGTGGCGGGCGCGAGGAGGAGCAGGAGGGAGGCGGGCAGCAGATCGTTTCAACGGGCGGCGAACGGCGGCAGCAGCAGCAGCAGCAGCAGCAGCAGCAGCAGCAGCGTGAGGAACGCGCCCTGACAGTGGGCTGGGCGGACTTTGTGGCGGCGCAGGCGCGCGTCAAGCCCAGCGCGCTGCGGGAGGTGGCTGTTGAGCTGCCGCAGGTGAACAAAGGGGCATGATGTAGTATTGAATACAACGCCGCCCTCATGTGGGGGTTATGCAGGCGCAAATGCTATGCATAATCCCCAGGCCCTGGCAAACACAGGTCAAGCTCAATCGGGTGCACCCGCAGGGCTGCAATAAGCTGCTGATGATCCTGTCATTCCTTGCGAGTTGACCTACCGGGAGTCTGGTCTTGTGACTCAGCGCCCCTCCACCCTCCCCAACGCATGCGCGTCATGACGGCCGAGAGCCCCATAAACAAAACCCGTGCGTTGCGAAAACCCCCGAAACCCCCTCTCCAGGTGTCGTGGTCGGACGTGGGCGGCCTGGGCCCCATCAAGCAGCGGCTGCGCGAGGCGGTGGAGTGGCCGCAGCGCCACCCTGAGGCGCTGCGGCGGCTGGGGGCGCGGCCGCCACGCGGCATACTGCTGTACGGGCCGCCAGGGTGGGCCTTTGGGCCGATGCGCAGGCTGCGCCGCGTTTGGGGCTTGGAAGGTTTTCCTGGTCGCTTGCAAATGCGGGGTCCGTTCAGTCGTCGCACCTTGCGCTAGCAGCGTTGGACGCTCCCTGCTCTGCGCACGATCGAGTAGTTGCAAGCGTGCGTGCGCCCACGCACACACGCACACACGCGCACACACACACACACACACACACACACACACACACACACACACACACACACAC